AACCGTAGAAGCGGACGAGACCGTGACAGCTCAAAACAGTAGAAGCGGACGAGACCGTGACAGCCAAAACCAGTAGAAGCGGACGAGACCGTGACATTTTATGATGGAAGAAACAAAAACGGATTGACAAAAGCGATTCCTTTTTGTTCTCAAGTTCCAGCACAGCTTTGCTTATGTCTGGCATGTGGAGGTTTCCCAAAATTAGCGGTCCCCGTTGTGGTGTCCGTTTCAAGGATGTTTTGCTATAGAAGAAGGAGAAGATGGACACCCTAAGTTTGGACAAGCGTAGCAGAAGCGAGTCCTCTGTGGTCTCAAGCTTGAGCACACCGTTGCTTTTGACTGTCCGTTGCTTTTGACTGTCACAGGCCAAAGTTTCTCCTGATGCGCGGTCACACTCTGGCTCTGCTCTTCGTTGCATTGTTGCTTCACACTGTTTTCCTTTTGTCAAAAGCTGAATGTTTCCAAGCCCAACTTTCTGAATCCCTAAACTCTCTAAACCCAAATTGTCGACAATCTTGCTGTTTGGGGCATAATTTCAAAGTGAAAGTGGATCCCAAATCTCCACCCAGCATCCAAGGAGTTCGGGATTGTCTCGGACACGGCACTGACGCCGGTCTTCGCCGCATCCAGCGTGACATCTGCAGCCTGAATCTGCGCTGCGACTGTTCTTCAAAGACCGACTACGAATGAAAGCAATCCTCGCACGAGCACTTCGCACACTCTTGCGAGAGCACGTGGCGGCAACAAAACCACTGTCCGTGTGGCAGCCTCCTTTACTGCTCTTCTTCCATGCCGCAGGAACAAAACTCCTGAAAGCCACTCCCCACACCCCCTTAATGGAAAGGGTCAGGGTTTAGGGTTTAGGGCCTTAGGGTTTAGGACATCCCTTTAAGCCCAACAATCTCTCCAGTCCAAGCAACGCCCTTCGCGGCGCGGCCAGGAGTTTCTGCGGCCTTCTTCAGGCCCTTGGACACCTTGCCCAGACCACGGCGCCGGCGCTTGCTCTTGAGTCCTCGACGTGGGGAGTGCAACGAGGGTAGGGGACTAGAAGCCAAGAAGCCAGATGGTGTCATGGAATCCCATCCCTGTGGGCCAGTGAAGCTCCGGGAACAGAGTAGGAGGTAAGGACCTGACCTCGGTTCTGGGCCCCGGCTATGACTTTGGGATCTGTTTTTTTTTGCAGCGTTCGCAGATTGGACTCCCAGAGCTTGCAAGTAAAGAGTCGGGATGTTCTGCACATCTCATGCCCATGTCGTGCAGGGCTACGGGGCTTTGGTGTGGAGTCGTCGCATCACACGGGTGGGCCCTCCCCTTCCCCAAACCCCATAATTCCAGAACAAATCCTACCTTCGGGTTCTTCTGGTTGGTCCCCTCTTCCTCCCAACCCATCTCCGCAAAAGTGACCCAGCCATAAGTGTAACACATCACCCTCTGGTCAGGCTCTTCTTGTTGGGTACACTAGGTCACACACCTTCCGGCCGGGTGAAATTCCTGCTCGAGCTCCCAGCAGACATTCCCTCTCACAAATAACCTCGATGACTTCCATGATTTCCTTACGTTGCTTCGCAGCGGCACTCTCACATGTTCCCAGAACCACAAGTATCACAGAGAAACCCGAAGTGCCCGCGCTCTTTCCCGAGGCACAATCACCCAAAGACCATGCGTAGCAGAACTTTGGGCTTGGGGGCGGGGGGGCGGGGGGCATTCTCCATGTTCACCTGAGGTCCCTACTTCCCCCGGCCTCGTCGTCGCCGCCCTCCGAGGCCTCGCCGGCGCTTGCCGCCAAAAAGGAGCATCTCGGAGGATAAGCCCTCCTGGCAAGGGCATCTTAAAGAGCAGTTGGGCTTCCCTTCATGGAAGGGGGCTCCTCATTGAACACACCTGCTACACCACCTCAGGTACTTCAGCCTCAAGCACTACTATGCAGTCCTTTGAGGTCCTTAAGCTCCAAATTTCCGACTCTTGCGGATCGACCCTAGCTCCTGCTGGTGGATCTCGTCCCGGTGACTGAGCAGTCTTCGGCCCTCGTCCTGCGAAAGCACCATTCCCAGAGCTTCGGGTTAAGGGATGTTTTTTGCATTTTTTGCCGTACTCTCTGGGGGTCCAAAGGCCAAACGCCCAAATCTTGAGTGATTGCTACGGGCGTTTATGTGGAGAATCAATCGCATGGTGTTGGAAGCAGGTTGGATGTTTCGAGATGGATGTAATGATCTCGGAGTCCGGGCTGAGGGCTTCAGGATTTAGGGCGTGGAGCTCAGAGCTTGGGGCTAGGGTCTTGGGGTTCAGAGCAAACCAACCCCACCTTCACACGACCTTCTGCTGCACTGGCAGCCATCGAAATCTGACCATACCTGTCAGGTGTTGCTAGCAACCAGAAATGGCGCAGATGCACTGGCATGCAAACAACCAGGGCTTTCCTACTATGTCCAATCAATCTTCGCATTGGCTTCAGGAGCAAGCCCAAGGCCGATGTCTATGTGGCTGGGTTCGAGCAGGGCTTGTCAGATTGCAGCCCGAGGTACCGATGGCCATGTGCCTTTCTGCTATAGTGAGCTGCGCCGTGCCCATCGCCCTCGGAGCTGGGAACGTCCAGATAAATCCGAGTCCTTCCCAGGCCCACGAGGTTGCCGCAATGGAATATGAACTTGCAGGTCTCGTCCTTCAGAGTCGAGGGGGCAACCCCAAAGCCTCCCCCTTAAGGATTCCAAAGACTCATCTTCTCTTGTCTTCGGTTTTCTTTGTGTTTTCGGGGGGGCCAAGGGGGGGAGAGGGGAGAGGGCTCGAATCGTCTTGAGGAGGAGAGCTCCTGAGCTGCACAGCGGCTGGCCTGGCCAGTGAAGTCCTCGGGGACCCGGACATTGCCGTTCCTTCTGTTTTGTCATGGTTCAAATCTTTGGGGATTTTTGCCATTTCCTTCAATAAAAAAAACGGAGGAAGAACGGAGAAAGTGTAGGCTCCCAAGCATAAAAAGTCCCAGCTTCACTGGCCCGGATCCGGCCCCCCAAGCGCCGTCGTCCGCGGAGAAGGCGGAGCCGGATCCTTCCCAGTCGAAGCCGTAGCGCTGGAACCCGGCGTTGTTGGAGAACCACCAGGTGCCCTCAGTCCTGTCCGTTCCGGTACACGGGGGATCGATGACCCAGGTGACGTTCTCCCCGATGCGAGATGCGTTGCTGAAGCGCTGGAGCAGCGTTTTCTGGCTGGGAAAGCTCCACAAGATCGTTGCAACCGGGCTTTGCTGCCCATCCAGGAGGAGCTCTTGTCTCCAGAGCTGGTGCTCAACATCACGCAAGGCCAGACTCACGTACGCCTCGGGGTCGTTTAGGACCAAAGGCTCCTGCGTGTAAGGAAGTCTGTCCGCACAGTTTGTGCTGTTCGTCTGCAGAAAAAGCAGAAGACTGCGCCCGTAGTATCCATTGTTGGGGCCAAAGGCGTATCGGTGAACGCCCGGCCAATGACGGCGGAAGGGCCAGAAGGACCGGCGATAGCGTGAAGAACCCGGCATGATGGTGTTGTTGCCGGCGGCTTTGTTGGCCAACTGCAGCAAAAGCGCAGTGTCGCAGCTCTCGTTGACCAGCGCCAGCACAGACACTCCGCTGAGCAGCAAGGCTGGGAAGACCCGCATGGTAGCCAAAACTAAGCCCTGAAAAGATTGCAAAATCGTTAATGGAGGGAAGCCAATGGCTTGAGCCGGCAGTGAACATGCAGGCAATTCACGTGGTCGTGACTGTTGGCACGGACAATCAAACAATCCAGAGCTGCCAAAAGAAAAGTTCCACGATGAGGGGATTCTTGATTGATGGGGTTGTGAGTTACTTGCGTCTCATTGTTGCAGGCGCGCTTGGAACAACTTGCGTCGGCGAGCAGACAAACCTCGAGCAAGATGTTTGGTCAAAAAGGGGCCAGACAAGTCTGTCACTTCGCAAAAACAGCAGCTGGCGCAAAAAGTTAAGTCGAAACCAGCAAACAAGTCTGGCGAGAGCTACTTGGTCAAAAGCACCAATCAAGTCTCGCACGAGCTATTTGGTCAAAAGCACCAGACAAGTCTGGCACGAGCTATTTGGTCAAAGTGGTCAAAAGCGCCAGACAAGTCTCGCGCGAGCTATTTGGTCAAAAGCGCCAGACAAGTCTGGCGCGAGCCATTCGGCCAAAAGCACCAAGCAAGTGTGGTGCTAGCTATTTGGCTATTTGGTCATAAGCACCAAACAAATCTGGCGCGAGCTATTTGGTCAAAAGCACCAGAGAATTTTGCCGCGGCAAAGGCTTGACACGTTGTGCTTCGAGCCTTGGTGCAACTGCGCCAGCATGCTGGACTCTGGATGCAAAGTGCGGTGCCACAAGGACTCTTTGTTTCATCATTTGGAAGATTCGAGAAGCTTTCTGACTTGAAGCGTGTTTGCCATGGTATCACAACAACTGCGAAAACCCGAAAAACACCAAAAATGCGAAACACGCGAACCGTGCGAAAAAACACACAAAGCAATTCGACAAAGGACCCTAAGGATGGCAAAGTCCGTTGCCCATATGTGGGGAGTTTAAGGGAAACCCTGAACCCAAACCCTAAACCCTAAACCCTAAACCCTACACCCTAAACCCTAAACCCTAATTAGGATGGCCTTGGGGAGTGCCTCATGGGTCCTGGGAGGGTTTTCAGGGCCGTAACTCTAAACACCCCTGATCCCTCTAAGCCCTGCAAGCACCAACAAAGCCACCGCGCTGAAGGAACTAGCTTACTTAAAGGTCGCTTGGGTTTTGGGGTAATAGGCATAGGGTCTTAGGGCTTCGGGGATATGCCGCAAAGCTTCAAGGGAAAGTTGTTCCCTAAACCTTCTTTTTGAAGCTGGACTTGCTGACGCTGCAACTTCGGCACTCTTGGCGGTCTTAAACAGCTACTGCGCTCGAAAGTTCTCGCGTCTCAGAATCTGGAGAAAACGGGAAAACTAAACAAACAACTCTTGCCCTCGCACGCGGCTTTCTTTTTAGAGCGCCACGTTGCTCGGGTGTCATGCTCTCTCATTCCTTTGGCAAAACGAAGAAAACCAGTAGAGCCAATTCAGGCAACTGCCACGTATGCCTCTGTGTCGCTTCTCTCGTGCCAACAAAGCATTCTTCTCCTTGACATAGCGCCCTGAATCGATGAACTCTTCAAAGAACTGTTTAACCTCATGGAGTAGCCCAGCAGCTCCGTTCTCCTTCTCGAGCCCCTGACCTAACTGTGCGGCCTTTTCACGAATCGAGGTCGATTGCAGGCAAGTCAAGATAGCCTCGGACAGGTCATGAGGTGAGATTGACCTCATGGCAGGCAGTCCCACCCCTATGCCCTTCTCATTCACAAGCTTGGCATGAACATACTGGTCGAGAAGGATTGGGACAATCACGCTGGGGATGCCACTGGTGGCTGCAGCATAGGTGGTGCCTGCACCCCCGTGGTGCACGATAACACTGCAACGCGGGAAGAGATTGGCATGTGGCGCGCTGTCCATGAAGAGGACCTTCGACTCGCAAAAGGACCGCAACTCTTCCGCATCTGGCTCGGAGTCGATGTCTTGCAATCCGAGGCCCGCCCAACCACGCACGAGGATACCTAGCTTGGCCCTAGAAACCACCCGAACAGGAATGGTGCACAAGACCCTCTTACCCGGTGTCTTGCCCTCAATCAGAGAATGCTTGAACATCTCCCAAGGGCCACCTAGACACCTCGACGCCCAGTGGCCTTGAGGGCACGCAAGCTGAGCAGGGTCATGAACTTGGCGCTGTGGCACACGAGAGACCCGTAGCCCATGTAAACCGGAGCTTCGCCCGCGCTTAAGAAGTTCTCCAAAGCAGCCTGCTCTGGCCCCCCGAAGTCGAGCCCCAGTTCCTTTGCGGCATCCTCAGCCCGGCCGACATCAAAAACCCTTTTGGGGTTCCTGCTTTGGTGTTCCTTTGGTGTTGTGTTTTGGTATGTTTTGGCACATTTTTTTCATCGGATATTTCATCGCAGACTCTGCCAAACTTTCAACGCCCAGGCTCGAAGCGGATGGGGCCCAACAAGCGGCACTTGTCGTTGAAGTCGGGGGGAAGAGGTCCATTGAGACTTGAGCTGACTGCAAATAGAGTCGGATAGCGAGGGCTGCAGCTACAATGGTCACAAAACTCCTGGTAGGACACTTCCCAATCTTCGCGAGATCCCTCAATGGATCCAGGAGGCAGTTTTTCGAGGGCATCGAGGAAGGTCCGCTGTCCCCGCGCCATGAGCATGCTCAGGATCAACCTCCAGGCACGCTTGTTCATGTCGAGGCATCCTGGCAACTTGGGCAAAACGCCAAGGACTGCGATATGGTTGCTGGGCACGATGACTTGCAGACCCACAAATAGTACGGGAATGCGCAGGACCCTGCCAATGCACAGGCAGCTCGTCATGCTCAGCGCCGAAGAGATAATCAGCTCGGGCTTGAAGTCCACCAATTGTTCGAAGAGGATCTGCACCATCTCCCTTCTGCAAGCGTTCCTCAACTTGTGCGTGCAGAAGCAGCGCGTTTATGCAAAACACGAAGGGTGCTTACATGTGCTTACGGAGTGCTGCCTTCTGTTCTCTGAACCCGCCACACACTCGGCCGCCTGAAGGTTAGAAAGCCGAGGAGCTTCTTCGCGTTCACCGCAGCTGACATCTTCAGGAAATCATTGGCCGTCACCGCCTGGACCACCTCCGCGCTGGTGGTCACCTCGCGCGAGGAGAGTGGGTAGCTCACGAAGCGGAGGCCTTGCTGCCTGCAGGTGAAGAAACCGAGGAAATATGCCAGAGCTCGGCGATGAGCGGTTTTGGACTACGCAGAAAGGCGCGAAGACGTGCGAAAAGAAACAACAAACAGGACGCAAGAAGCCGCACAGAACAACAAAACAGTAATCTCTAGGCCCCTAAGCCAATCTCATGCCAAGCTGCTCGGCCATGCTCTTGGCATCCTTCGGGGCCATGGCCAGCACCGAGAAGCCATCTGCCTGCAAGGCCGTGGCGGCGGCCATGTACGGCTGCACATCTCCGCGCGAGCCTTCCATGCACAGCACCACGCGTCGCATTGTGAGAACCTATGACGACATATGACGAGGCTTTGAACCGCTGCAAACCGGTGCAAATGGGCTGCGCCATGAAGTCCTGAAGCTCTCATGCACAGAAAAAAGATGTGCATTGCTGCATTGCTTCCTGGGCTTTCTGCTTCCATGCCCCAGGCTTCTCTTGGCTTTTCACCGTACATGCCGATCTGGCGCTCAGACATCGGCAAGCCGGACCTTCGAAGGCATCGGGATTTCTTTTCAGATCTTGCGTCGTTTTGATCCTGTGGATTCAGAACCAGTTGGATTCTTCAAGGATGCCTTCCTTGTAACAGGTTTAACAATTGGAACGACTTGAGGAGCCAGGGGGGTTAGGGCTGAGGATGGGGTTAAGAAATGACACAGAGTCTCGAGGGGTCGAGGTCCGCAAGTTTTTTTGTCAGTGAGGATTCGAACCCGGGTGAGTGCACAGCCTGCAAGGCCGCCCACCTCCCAGCTTTCCGGTTCGTTGGGCGGCTTAGGCTTTCGGATTCAAAATACTGTAAATACTTCTTGGGTGTGCAAGGCAAGGCTTTGGCTGATTCTGTTCTTGCTGCTGCTGGTCAGATACTGGAGAGACTTCAGGCTGAGGGGCGGCCTTGCGAACAAAGCTGACAGCCAGATAGAAGTTTGTCTGACCTGTAGTTGTTACCACATTACCACATTGTACAAAGAAGCCTGAAGCACAACCATATGGGCCGAATGATATGAAGCAGTGCAAAGGGGAGCTTCAGAAAAAAGGAGAACTGAGTCGCGGACCCTAAGAAAAGTAGGATCCTTATGAATAGGAGGAGCCCTAAGGCCCTATGTAGTAGGATCCTTATGGGAACCGGAATACTTTGAAACTCAAAAGAAGCTAAGAATTTAAGGAATACACTCTGGCCTTCAGTACTTTAGGGTTTGTGGTGATCAGACTTCACAACAGCCTGACGCTCTCATACAGCCCAGCTGCCGTCGCGGCGCAGCTTCGGGACGGGTGTTGCGCTCACAACGCAGCCATATGGCCTGAACAAAATAGGGTTAGGGTTTGGGGTTTAAGGTTTGTGCAAACTTCTGGGCATTCGGTCTGGGTTCATGGGTTCAACCGACGATCCCTGGCTCTTGTCTCTTCTATGGTTTCTTCGTGAGGAAGAATATGGGGGCCCGATGGCGGCTGAGCCACTACGGAGTGGCTCCAGAGCGCTTCATGGAGCCTCCACACCCTAAACCCTATAGTTCGGAAACCTAGCCGCCAGTACGATTTTGTCTTTGTCGTTCTTCTAATTTTGGTTCGAAAGCCTCAATTTCTAAACAGTTAACATTGGATGTCAGGAAGGTTTTGTACACCTGCCACTTAACACCACAGCGTCCATCACGACTGCAGTGCACACGGGCGTGTGTGAACACCATGTTGGGAATTGGTATCATTATTGCCAAACGTGTGTTTTGTGCTTCCTAGACTGAAGGGATAAAGCGATATGGGGCGTACACAAACGAGAGCACGTCCCAAAGCTTCGTATCTTTGAGGAGTGTTGCTCTACGTGTACTGCAGTTTTGATGGTCAGAAAGATCGTACGGTCGAACAGCCATGTTGTGAGCTGCAAGGCAGTATCATGTTGTGATCCACATGTCGTAAAAACCCTCAGCGGTGCCCGTCTTTTCTGTCAGGCGCTCAGAAGCAACGGACGTCCCAGGAAGTGCTGCATGCTGGCGGCACTAAACGCTGGCTTCCACATCTAGCATTGGTACTCGGTGCCGTGCTGATCTTCGCGCCGGGAGTCTTCCAGGCGAGGGCCTGGGCCCTGGAAGACTGTCGAGACAAGGTGAGATCTGAGGTGGGCCGTGGCGCTTTTCGGCCAAGCGCTAATGCCAGGGGCTTGTGCCCCGTGATGGGACTGTCAACGGAGGGCCCATGTCTCAGAGTGGGCCAAGGAGCAAAGGCCTTGTCTCCATGGCCCATGCCCTTCACAGACTGCATGCCACGATGTCCAGGTTCCCCTGACCATCGAGTCACCTTGAGACGATGCTGCCGTGCAACAGTGGGTCTGCCCTTGGATGCTGCTTGCATCCCGCGGCATGTGTACGTATGTGAATGTCTGAACTCCAGCATCAAACTCTGGACACCTCCCAGCTCAATCTGGAATACCGTGCCAGCTTCACGGGTGCTGGGTTGAGCTGCGCGCAAAAGCAACATTCAACACTCACTTGCGAGATGGCCCCCAGGTTGCGCACGGGGCTGAAGTGCTCAGTTGGGCCAATAAGCTCGTGATCTCAACAGGGTGGTCTGAATCGAAGGACCATAGCTTCATGGACCTGAAAGGCTTGAAATGCGCGGGTGCGCCCGGACTCAACCTTGGCAGCTGCGCACCTCGGATGGCGACGCCTGGGTGGTACACCCACCACACCGCGTACACCTGCTCCGAGAGAAGGACCTTTGGGACATCAGGGACTGGCACCTGGAGCCCAAGTCCCTGTTAAAACGTGCCTCGAAGATCGTTTCGATACCCTGTGAACGGCAGCCGGAGCAACAAGCTGCTGTCTGATGGCTGAAAGCTTAAAGCGCCTAGGCCACAGCTGGGCGTGGGCACGTCAACAGCCGGGCTTAGAATGAAGAGCTTGTAATCCTTGGGTCATTCAACCCGCAAGAAAGAGCATGCGGCCGGGAAAGATTCGAGGAATCTTCAACCGGTACTTCGATACCCTCGGGTCCCGTAAGTCCGAAGCCCTAGAACTTACGGAACTGACAAACTCCTCAAGAGCACTGCTCTGTGCTTCTCACTTGAGGCCCTTCATCGGCTGAACTCTCTTCTCTTGCCACCCGCCTGGACTCTAAAGGCGTTTAGATTCTGAAGGGCTAAGTTTGGCCTTGGGCCAGCTGAGCCTTGCGTCAAAGGTGGTGGTGTTGGGCCGTGTCGGATCTCAAGAACATTTTTGGGCTCTCAAGGCTTCAACGGCTTCAACACCGCAAGCCCAAAACTCGAAAACACTTTGGCCGCGGTTTGAGGACGCATGGACCGCCCATTTGCAGATGTCCTGCGCTGGGGCTTTTGCAGGCAGCCTTAAACCGAAGCCTGACACCTACGACGCCTAAGAACCAAGCCCGCAGCCATTGTACGGTTTTCGAAGGGCGGGCACATGAAAATTCGGCTGGTGAGACTGAAGTTTCAAGCTCAACATCCAAGCCGAAATCCCGACGCGGCCCTGTGAAGCAGAACGGACCTCAGCCTCTTGAATAGCCTTGCGGGCTTTGTGGAGCAGTGCCGCGGTTTCAAGCGAAGTTCGGTGGCTGGCAAGAGGAATCCGCATCCGTGAGTCTTGCACCCTAGGTAGGGTTTTAGGTTTGTAGGGTTGCGCAGAATGCGAACGCCCTTGGAAATCATGCCTGAGCACACGTCTAACTCCGACCACGCAAGAATCTGCAGGTTATGGTCTGGACTTGATGACATTTAGGGTTTTAGGCCTTAGGCTTTATCCCAAGATGGGCGGAGGGCGGCCTACCCTAGCTGCAATGCGGCTGCACTGCCAACAGTGGGAGAGCAGAGCATATTTTTCTTCATTAGTTAAGTCATGTCCATTAACTATTTGTTGTGCAAAACCGTGCTTTGCAACTGCGGCAGGTGGAGTTCCCATGGATTCCGTTTCCAAAGCTGGCCCAAAACTTGTCGATTCGTGTAGCAAAATGGGAGTTCCCACCCTTGACATGCCAAATACGAAAGGCCCTGAACCCTTCGGAGTCTTGAGTGCTTGCCCCCACGGCTCAAAGCAAGGAGCTCTGACCTGAGACCTGAGAGTCCTGCAATAGCTGAGTCGTCTTGTTCGTGGGGGCTGCACGCCAAGGCCGCTGATCCAGGAGCACTGTCTGGAGCTTGGGTCGATGTGGCTAAGAATCTTCCCAGAGGGCCCAAATTCAACGGAACTTCTCGTTCCTGCTTCAATCCCGAAACCGGCCTAACCCTGCATGCTGACTTGTGAACTTGTGTGAACAATCAGGCTCACGGAGGTGAGTGGAGGCTTTGAGGTTTGCCTGCAGAGCGCCCCCAAAGTCCGACACAAAGCTCACGGCTGGATTTCGAGGCATCTGCTTCCAAGACCCTTGCAATGCTACTCGTTTGGGCGATGGTGAGGGAAGCCAAAGCCAGCAGAAGCCTCACCGCCTCCTTCAAGTGACGTCTGCAGCAGGCTCTCTTGCATTCATCGCAGCGCTTGGGCCGAGGCATGCCTTCGTCACCATCAGCGTGCTGCTGACTTCTTTACGGGCCGTGGCAGGTTATGCACCCAGGCTGAATGCTCTTTGTCACACATGCTGAGCAAAGCTGGGACTTGCCCTGCTCGCCTTTCCCTGCAACATCTCTCAGTTCCGCAGAGGCCTGTGCCCAAGCAAAGAACGAGACATGTCCATCGCGCTGCGGCGGAGGAGAAACAGAAGCGGTGAAGGTGAGGGTTGCACTGCATGGATTTTCGGAAGCCGCTGAAACCGTAGGCTGACTGCAGGGAGGCGCTGTTCCGGCAGTGCCCTCCTAAGTCTCGAGGCTGAAGTTGAAGGGGTCAGCATTGAAGCGCGCCATGAGGACAAACCTCCTTGTACGTGATACGTGGGGACACGGACAAGCAGCAGCCCCTTTACGACTTGGACGCCCCAGGAGGTACTGCAAGATCGAGAAGATATGACAAGGCAAGTGCTGCCCTCATCACCCCTGTTCCCATTCCAGTCAGCTGCCAGCTGTGACTTTGCTCAATTTCACATAATTTCACCCGAAGTGCTAGCAAGCCGGCGTTCTTTCACGTGCCTCACCATGCTGGCACCGTCAGCAGAAGGTCGGCCACCGCCAGCAGAAAGCCCGGGGACGCCTGTTGGCGTGGTACAGAGAACGGGCACTCCTGCAAGAAGCCTCTTCAGCATGGCGAACTCCCTCTGAGACGTCCCTGTCAGCCGAGAAAGTGGAAGAATATCCAATGGAAGCATAATCCCGGATTTCAGTGATTCTGTGATGCCAGGTTCTCGGCGTCTAAATCTCGAGGGCCACTGGGGGGCTCTTATTGCGCAAGCATGCATTCAAGCTTCGCGGTTTCAGTGCCATGAAGACGTGGCGGCAGCGGCTGGGGAAATCCGGATGGACATGTGAACGCACGACTTGGCTATGTGAGCCCTCATGCGCACTGTTGGCTCCTGAGCAGGCACACGTCAGACACCAGATCAGGTTGGGACCCTACAACGCTGCTGCCCCTACCCGCACCCCCGGACGGATCCAAGCATGTGCCACGTCACAGTTTGCATCCGACATGTTTCTAGGCGGAGGGCATGGAGTGCACTCAGGGTCTAGGTCGCACTGCCATCGTGCAAAGCTCAGAGCCAGAGATTCGTCGTGAGAGAACCCACAAGCCTCCAGAAGCCCTGAGATCATCGAGATTCATCGAGCCGAATCCGAAGAATGTCGGGGCATCCAAGCCCCACTCTCAGCCCAAAGGACCTATCCGACCTATTTCCTTCCAGAAGCATTGAGCTTAGGACTTCGGTGCAGCTTCGGGAGGACCCTCTTGACATTTTCATAGGCAAGGAGAGATCCTAGGTTCTGGAAACCTCAAAGAAGCACTCGCAATGGGCTCAAGGGCGCATCCTGAAGCGTGCCGTGGGGTAGAGCGACTTTGGAGCCTGTCTTGGTGTTCAGGCCGCGTGACGTAGGGTTCAGGGCCCCAAGGGCCCCATTTCAAGCCTTGACTGACGAAGCCCCCCCCAAGATTTCCGGAAGAACCTCAACAGAAGGAAGCCCTGAGGGCCCCAAGCTCTAATAGAGACACAGCTTGAGCGACTTGGAAAGAGCCCTTAGCAATGGAAGGCTACTGCACAATCGGGGTGACCGACGGCCAGAAGCAGAAGGCATCGGGCTTGAGCTTAAAGCTCGATGAGCAGCGAGGTTTAGCCGTTGAGGGTTTCACAGTTAAAGAAGTTGAGTCAAAGAGCATAAGGGAGTTTGGGGCATTTGAAACACGAGCGCCAAGATTGGGCATGTCTGGCGACCCTGAGCCCTACAATTCATCAACCCCTTCAACTTCAAAGAAGCTGCGATCACAGGATCAGTTGCATTCTGCCCAGCAGCGCGCCAGCCCCGCCTACTTGCCACGAGAGACATTCTTTGGCGGTGGCTGGCGTCCAGGGCTTGTGCTTGTTAGACTGGCTGCTTGGGGGCATGGCCAGCATCACCGCTGGGGTGCTCCTGAAACCCTCAACCGCCCAAGCTGTCAAGGCGGTTTCAGCAAAGCTCACAAGAGGAGCAGAGATGGCTTCAGTAATTCATCCCTCAGGGTGCAAAACACTAGGCGACCGTGAGGTTTTGTGGCAAACTCGTGCTCCAAAGGAAGTTGCTGTGCCAAACTGCGCACTGGACTCTTTCCTCGAGAGCCGACAAGCTCTAACCCTAAGAGCCACTAGGGTGCATCACAGAGCCCTCGGCGCCCGCAATGCCCGCCGGGTGGTCTTCCCAGCAGTCGACTTAAGGCTTGCAGCCTAGATTGATGCTGTGCTGCCGGATGGTCCTCGGCACCGAACAGAGAAGCCCGGGGGTTTTCAAAGCATGAGACTCCAGGTTCGCCTCGTCCACACACAGAGTCGGCTCGTCCGCACAAGTCCATGAGAGAACTCCTTCAAAGATCTTGAACGACAGCAAACTTGCCGCGTAGCAAAGCCCGTTGGCAGAAGCTGTCTAGGGCCTGGGAAGCAGCACGCTGGCATCCACGGCTGGTGTCGAGTTGCAAGTCGCCTTCGGGGACTGGCGGCGCGGCCTGCCCGGCCTGCCCAGGGGCCCAGCTATCAGGTCGTGCCATGACGGCGGCTCAAAGCCAACAGCGGACAAGGAGGCACGGGCCTCCTCGAGAAGCGCAAGTGCGGGCGCCAACTCGCCATCGTTTTGCAGGTTGTGCACAAGGCCATGAACAGAAGAACCGTCACGCTGTTGCAAGACAGGACTGCTATCCGCCCACGACGCCCAAAACGTGGCGAGCGCATGCCGCGCAGCGCTTCGCAGGCCGAGGCCCCCGTGGCGAAGGGCGACCTATCGGCCACGAAGTCACGAAAGGGTTTACATTACAGCTTCATGCTTTGCTGCTTTGCCAGCTTCCGTGTTATCGGGGTCATGTACGTCGGTTTTAAGCCTTAAGATGGAGATGGGAAGTTTGGGACATCCCAAGGTGGAGTCATAC